GAGAGAGCACAAGCAGGGGGAGCAGCAGAGGAGAGGGAGAAGCAGACTCCCCTGCTGAGCAAGGAGCCCGATGCGGGGCTCCATCCCAAGACCCTGGGATCATGACCTGAGCCGAAGGCAGATGCTTAACCAACTGAGCCACCCGGGCATCCCTAGCTGCTTTTTAAAAATGGAATGTTATTCTTACATTTTAAGAATGACAGACAAACTGGTTATTTAGACATGGGTATTTTGGAGAAAATTCTCAAATATGAAGTGAACCTGTTAATTCATGGAAAAAAACTGATGGTACTTTTTTCCATTGATAACTTCAGGCTTACAAGTGAAAATTTGGATTTAAGAAAATTTGTATATTCCACTGTGAGTTTGACAGCTTCCCAGTATTTAAAGACTTCAGATGAGATCAGTAATAATATTCATAAATAGAATTTTTGATACTATATAACAAAATGTGTCAACATTTGGAAAATTTGCCAACTTTGATGAAACTACATTTTCCAAATTACCAATGTGAGATGCAACAAAATCATGCATAGGTAAAAGGTGTATTTGAAGTATAAAATAGGCCAATGAATTTTAGTGTAACAGGGTATAAAAAGTTCACAGATGTGGTTTCAGATTCCACATTTCAACTAATCTTTTTTTTTTTTTAAGATTTTATTTATTTATTTGCCAGAGAGAGAGAAAGAGAGAGCACGAGCACAAACAGGGGGAGCAGCAGGCAGAGGGAGAAACAGACTCTCCGCTGAGCAAGGAGCCCGATGAGGGACTGGATCCCAGGACCCTGGGATCATGACCTGAGGAGAAGGTAGACACTTAATCGACTGAGCCACCCAGGAGTCCCTCAACTAATCTTTAAGAAGATATTACTTGTGGAGTTTTGGTGTAGCATCAAAGAAAGAAAATCCATAAAAATTATTTGAAAAAGTTATTACAATATTGTTCCTTTTCCTAACTTCATATCTTGAAGACCATATTTTCTTATATATACTTCAACCAAAACAATATATTGCTACAGACAATGCAGAAGCAGATATGAGAATCTAGTTTTCCATTAAGGCAGGCGTAAGGGGTGCCTGGGTGGCTCAGTTGGTTAAGCGTCTGCATTCAGCTCGGGTCACAATCCCAGTGTCCTGGGATTGAGCCCCATATTGGGCTCCCTACTCAGTGGGGAGTCTGCTTCTCCCTCTCCCTCTGCCACTACCCCCTACTTGTGCTCTCTTTCTCTCTGTCAAATAAATAAATAAAATCTTTAAAAAAAAAAAGGTAGAGATTAAAAAGACTACTGAAAATGCTGCTTTTTATGAATTATTTTGTTTTAGAAAATAGTTATTTTAATTTAAAATGCATTATACATATTAACATATTTTAATAAAAATAAGTATATTTATAAATAATAACTTTTACTTTCTCAATTTTAATTTTGAATACAATAAATACTCATAATTCACAGAAGCAAAAATATTTTGGGGCCCTAATAGTTTTTAAGAGAATAGCTGCTTTGCAGAGTCATATGTCCTTTAACCCCTACATTAGTACATTTCTAATATTGTGGCATATTACTGTTTGATTATTCATTATTTTTTTTTAAAGATTTATTTATTTATTTGAGAGAGCGAGATTGAGAGAGAGAGAGAGTACATGAGAGGGGGGAGGGTTAGAGGGAGAAGCAGGCTCCTCGCCGAGCAGGGAGCCCGATGCGGGACTCGATCCAGGGACTCCAGGATCATGACCTGAGCCGAAGGCAGTCGCTTAACCAACTGAGCCACCCAGGCGCCCTTCATTATTTTTTATAAAGTATTTTTTATTTTATTTTACTATTTATTTAAAAGTAAGCTCTACACCCAACAATATCGAGTCACATGCTCTACTGATTAAGCCAGTCAGGTGCCCCTATTGTTTGATATTTAAAGAAATAACAGGAAGGGTGCCAGGGTAGCTCAGTCTGTTAAGTGGCGGACTCTTGGTTTCCCTTCAGGTCATGATCTCAGGGTCCTGTGATTGAGCCCCCGAGTAGGAATCAAGCTCTGCGCTTAGAATGGGGTCTGCTTGAGATTCTCTCCCTCTCCTTCTGCCCCTCCCCCTGCTCACTCTCTCTCTGTCAAATAAATAGAATCTTAAAAAAATAAAGATTTTATTTATTTATTTGACAGAGAAAGAGAGAGCATAAGCAGGGGGAGTGGCAGGCAGAGGGAGAGGGGGAAGCAGGCTCCCTGCTGAGCAGGGACCCCCAATGCAGGACTTGATCCCAGGACCCTGGGATCATGACCTGAGCTGAAGGTAGATGCTTAACCAACTGAGCCACCAAATCCTTTGAAATACTTGCCCATCTAAAATACTTCACTTCCCAGCCTCCCTTACAGCTAAGGATAAGTACGTATCTAATTTCTGCATAGTGAGATGTAAGCAAAGTGTTTATGTGGTACTTTCAGGAAATGTCCTTAAAAAGAAGTATGTTTTCAAAAAAAAAAGAAGTGTGTTTTCTCTGCCTTTCCTCCATTCTGCTTCCTGGTATAGAATGATGGCTGGAATTCTAGTAGCCATTCTGAAACATGAGGACAAGAGATAAAGGGTAGTAAAATGGAAGGAACCTGGTTCTGAACAACTTTGTAGAGCTATTGTACCATCCCTGGATTGTCTACGTCTGAACTTCTAAGAGAAAAATAAAGGTTTTATTTAAACCACTTTATTCTGACTTTTCTATTATATGCAGTGATATCTAATCCAAGAAAATATAATTTTGATGGGAAAAATGCTGTACATTAACATTTTGAGTTTTCTAAATAGAATCTCAGGGGGAAAAGAAGTTTGCTCCATTACAGAAATTAAAACAGACAACTCTTTCACAACATGGGAAAAGATATGCATTATTTTAAGAATCCATAGTTTATTACTTTGAAGAACAATAGGGATATTTAACAGGAACCTAAAACTACTGTTGGCCATTTTAATAATAGTTCTTTCATGGTGAAGAGTGATCCAGATTTTTCCCATGGATTCAAGCAAAGAATAATAACTTAAAATTATGGAAGACGTATCATACATTCATCATTTTGCCAGCACTAACCTCAAAGTATAAGCTTTATTTTATTGGGGGTAAAGAGATAGGCTGCCCTTTTAATCAACTGACTAATGAACAAATAAGCTAAGATTAACTTTGCAGCTAACGAATAGGCGTGATTAAAAAGTTGGTTGACAACACATGAATAAATAAATGACCATAAGCCTGGAAATGCTACCTGTAGTATTTTAAAGTGTCAATCATATCTCTAGTCATCATTTAAAGAATTAATGTGTGCTAATGTTATCATCTAAAATATGTTTACAGAGGTCAGAAGAGCTACATCTGTCCTCCTTCATGCCAAGAGGTGATGACATCAAGGGGGTATGTCACAAGCCTAAGTTCAGTTAGTAGATTTAAGTTGGTTTGGAGTTTTATCCACTAAGTATGATCTTCTGACCCCTCAGTTTTACAACTTTCCAGTCTCTGTGCTGCATAGCACTTCTCCACTTCTGAGTTAATCATTTCTTTGCCATTATCTGCCCCAAGTTCTTATCTCTTTTGCTGTCACTTTATAACAGGGTCCTCTTATCAACTTGCATAGAGTCATGTGATCCATCTAAGCCTATCAAAAGTTCCCATTCTTCTGATTAGAAACCATCATGTAACAGGATACATGGTTTACAGCAGGCCACTAATGCTGGAAAAAGTACAGAGTCCAGGGAAAGACTTACTTGTAACTTTCTGAATTCTTGGATTTTTTTTTTTTTTTTGCAATTTTTTAAACTTTCACTAAGGGATACTGTAGTCTGATGTGTCCTACCGAGGACTACAAAATTTGACAAGCTCTACCCTTTCTTATGCTCAATGATTTCTGCTTTAAGCCAAAGGACCACCTATAATTTTACTAAGAATGTCTTCTAATTCGGATACTGGAAATTTACAAGATTCTCTAAAGCGCGGACTTACACCTATTGGTAAGTAGGAGTTGCTCTATTTATCATCCATTTATTATTCTGCTACTACATTAATTCATGTAATTTAATCTCATTGATGTCTTTAGCTTTATAAGTCATTGCTTCTCCTATTGTCTATTAAAAGCACATAAGCCCATGTATGTATCACACATTTATCTTTCTTGAAGTTAAAAAAAAGCAAACGGATATTTCAATATTATTCATTATATCCACTGTTTTTGGATGCCCATCCATTAGTCTAAAACAGTCAGAATCAAAAATTTATAATGTATATATTTCATCACTAGTATTTTCTGATAATTTCTAATCAGAGATAATAAGCTAAAATTTGACCAACTTGAAACTACCATATGGAGTCATCATTGATCAAACTTTAACAAATAGCTTTCAGATATTTGTAAAGTTTCAAGCCACACCACAGTATGGTATCTCATTCATTGCAGATACTATAGACCCTTTTGTTTCTCTGATGAATAAAAGCCATGCAAAAAACCATATATTTTTAATATATGTATTTAATAAATATATGTATACATATACACACACCTCATCATTAGTTAAGGATTACAATTTAAGGGTTACTGTCTATTTTCCAAAATAATGAGCATGGCTTGTTTTTATAAACAGGAGTAAATAAAGCTAATTTTCACTTCTAAAAAGAACAAAAAATGTTAGTGTTACAGCAAGAATACATGCAATTAGTCCTAAAAGTAAAGGACTAAAGGGAAGTGATTTCCAGCGGTCTGTAATTATTAGTCTGTTGGCAGTCATGCCCTTTGTCCTTTCCCTTAGTTTTTGAAGGCCCTGTGCCTTTTCTTGTAGCAGTTTTTAGGCTTTCGAACTGCAATTTCCCTGCGAATTCGCGGAGGCCTGTCATGAGCTCTGAGTTCCAGCTCCGCTGTAACAAGAAGGAAAATCAAGGCTTGGGCTTTTCCTCTTTCTCCCTTGATAACCAGCTGACTCCACTGAGTGCAGTGATTGCTTTTTTATTGAGCCAACTACACCCTATGGTATATCAATTGAGGAAATGGTTACCCCCCACACCCCAAAATCTGTACTTAGGAAAAGAAAACACGAGGAAGGCAGAGTGCAACACTGAATCAATTGCTCTGCAGATAAAAAGAACCTATGAGCACAAGAAAGGAGGTGAAAGAGAAACACAAACGATTTCTAATCTTTTTCGCCTGGCAAAACCGCGGCGGCGCGCTAAGGAGTCCTTCCAGGCAGCGACCGGCTAGGCGTTCCCGGGGCTCGGCGGCCCCGGGGATCCGCGCGGGGGGTTCGCGGCGAGAGCGCGCTCAGCCGGGGACAGGGGCGGCGCGTGCGCGGGGCGAGCCCGCGCTCCCGCCTCACCTCGGGTCGCGCGCAGCGGGGACTGGGAGGTTGCGAATTAAGAGGGCGTGGGGGTCCCCGAGAACACATATGCCGACCCCCGCCGCCACGGCGTCCCTCAGACTCTTGGGGTGAATTAAGAGGGACAGGTGGTAGAAGGAGACCCCTTTGCATTTCTCTCTGCTACGTTTTACCCACCGCACTGGGACTCACAGGGCGCGGGCATTGCTGTAGAATAGAGGCAGGTCCATCCCGAGCATAAATAGAGATCTAACACCCTCAAGTCTGGGATCAGCCAGGTTCGGGAGAGCCAGGACCTGCGGAACGTCTGTCTAGCCCCGGAGGGACTGCTAAAGACTGAGCCTCAAAAAAAAAGAGTACGGAAGGAGGCGCCCAGCGAGTCTACCCCAACACCCTAAACCTCTCCAGGCACTTCCGGGCGTCAGATCCCGGGATGACAAAATTCCAGTCAATTTTCCGGTAAAAGAAATCTCTTTCCGATTTCCTTCGCGGCCTCCCGCCCTTTCCGAGCCCTAGCACCCTCCCTCCCCCATACCCTGGTATTCCCAGGTGGCTGTGAGATGTCCCTGTTGGCAACATCTTAGGCACCCAGAGGCGGCTACTGGCACTGAGAATTCCATCTATTCATGGGGTAGCCTCCAAGGAGCGCGGAGGGTCATTCCTGGGGGTTTCTTGGCTAGGCAAGTCACCCAAAGGGCTGACAGAGGAAAAGGGGGCATTGTGAGCCATCAGTCTGAACAGTTAGGGCTTACCCCAATCCTGAAGGTGAGTTTCCTCTTGGATTGGATTCTGATTGCCCAGGGCAGGCCCGTTGAGAGGAACCCACGGGTGGAGTAGAGAGTGTCAGGTCCTGGGGTGGCTTTGAGGGAGCAAATTGCAAGTTAGGATAGGGATGGGGCGTGGTTCACAAAACTGAGGCCAAGGCATGTAGAGATGGGTCAGGGTTTCCAACTTTACATTAATTCAGTTGTGTTGTATTAAGAAATGTGCCTCTGTTTATTTCAAAAGCTGTCCCTATGGGTCCTTGGTGTGTATGTCATTTTCCTTCTATGCACACTGGTGGTTACATGAAAATTGTGTATAAATGTCTGTACTCATATAGAAAAGTGGAAATCATAACATTGTTCCTTCTGCCTACCTGCAAGATAATCACAGTGTGGTATAAGAGCAGCAGACTTGGGGTTATAACCAGATTGTTCCCTTAAAGTTAACTAGCTCTGGGACACTGTCCAAATTCTTGGTTTCTGGCTTAGGTTTTTTTTTTTTCCCCTTTCTCCCAAATGGGGCAATTTTACTGATGATATACAGTAGCAATGTAAGAGAGAAAGAGAAACAGAAAAAGAAAGAACAAAGTATTTGTCTACATCAACAAAAGAGTCAAATCTGTATGGTGGGAAGTATGTCCTATAACAAGTATTTATTGACTCTTCTGCAATGTGCTCAACATTATTGTTTTGATTTCTATGAAATTTATGTAGTTCTTCAAATTAAGTGCATTAATAGAATACATTATACACATTGAATATGTTATTGTCTATTACCCACAGGAAGTTATGTCTGCATAGTTAGGGGTACATAATACACAATGCAAACATTCTTGAGACACTACATACACTTTGTTATCTAGTCCCCTTAGCACTCTTGGAGTCTGATTTCATTCCAGCAATAACCTCCAGTAAGCTCTGTGCCCATAAGGATCTCTGAAAGTAGACATCATGCAGCAGAAAATGAGATAGCCCATTATGTCACCCTAAACTCTGGCTAGCCTTATTGGTGGTGCAGTTTAGAATGTCAGTCACCCAAATCCATGTTCTGATTCTTGGCTGCTGGGCTCAGGCAGCCAGTTCCCTCCAGGAAGCTAAACTCTGGTGCCTCTTCTCCTTCCTTGCCTCAGCCCAACTCCAAAAGAGTGCTTCCCAAACTCTTTACTGGCCTTGATTTACAAGTTCTGACTGGAGCTAAAGGATTTATTTAACACCTCTTTTAATAAACCAAGAAAGATTTATGGAGGAAGGGAGAACAGAGGCTTGGTAGTGTTTTTTTTTTTTTCCTTTACTTAATGCCTCTACCCAGACATAATGTCTAGGGTTATCTTAGATTCAGCCTTGAACTTGAGATGAGGTATGGAGAAGGCTCTGGGACAGACTCCCACCTGGAGGCCCAGCTTCCCCCAAGCACTGCTAGGGATGTTTTATGAAGGGCAAGAGTCAGATGTCTTGTTCCCCAAGACTAGAACCTACCTCAGGATAAAGCTATTTCTTTGGGTTGCACTTCCTCACTCTTCACCTTATTGGAACAAAAATTTCTCTGAGAAATCCAGTTGGCTTCAAGGAACTTTAGGAGTTTGGGGACCTTGAGGTCTAGGGGAAGCCCTGGGGAAGAGTTGAAATATAACCAGTGTGAACTTGAGAGGTTAAGCCTGGAAGAACCATGTGGACTGAACTCGATCAGACAAATTAATAAAGGCTGCCTCTTTTTTAGTCTTTTGGGAAACTCTGATATGTGTGTTTTTGTGTAATAAGTAAGAAAAGACACACTTAACTTTTAAACTCCAAATAATCTGAATACAGATGAACATAAGCAGTTTGGTGAGCAGTTTTATCTGGGGGTGTAATTAGGTCCCTGAGGACTATGTCAAGCGCTGCAAGACAGTCAAGTTAGCAGGTACCTCCCACTGGAAGGATCTTATTTTTAATGGTTCTAGAATGGTTAGTGATTCCCTTCCTAGTTATTTTCCTTAGAGAAAGATGAGTGTGGGTGAAGTTAGGGGAAAAGAAAATACAAAGGAGAACTGGTATTTATTAAGAGCATGGTATGTTGCTTTATTGGTACTGTTTCATGCAAGTATAGAGTTTACTTTGTTAACCCTGTTTTACTGATGACAGAATTGAATCAGAAAGGTCAAGTGATTTTCCCAAGATCCTTCACCTTGTCAAGAGAGTGAACTGTAAACAGAACCCATGGATGTGATTCTGAAATCCATGATCTTTCCTTAAAGTATGATTATTTGCCTTTGTTGATATAAAGTAATTATTAAAAACAATGTTGATCTACTCAGACATTCTTCCAAAAGGCATGGGGGATTAAGAAGACATTTGTAAATGGCTCTTTATCTTCCTTTTCATTCCACAGTGGAAATCAGATTTAGATCCCAGTAGAATTCAGAAGGGTGGGATGGGGAGAGGTGTAGGGGGCCGGCTGGGGACAGCATCCAGGAGCCTTGGGGGCAGAGCAAAGCATGTAGGAAAGCACTTTGGGTCTTCTGTTCTGGTTTCCTTGAAAGGCTCTCTGGAGTTTGGAGGGAGGTTTTGCTTGCATTTATGGGGTGTATGCTGGCCACTTGCAGGACTACTGACAGACAAGGGAATTGAGAGAAAATTCAGAGCAGCTATTTGTTATAGAATTGGTGGGTATGAGGAGGGCAGGGAAATCACCCAAAATGAGTGACTGCATTTATTTTTTTAAGATTTTATTTATTTGACAGAAAGAGAGAGCACAAGCAGGGGGAGCAGCAGAGGGAGAGGGAGAAGCAGGATCCCCACTGAGCAGGGAGCCCCATGTGGGGCCCCATCCCAGGACCCTGGGATCAGGACCCCTGCCTAAGGCAGACACTTAACCGACTGAGCCACCCAGGCGCCCCTGAGTGA